CTATGCCACTGTACTCCAGCCTGGGAGACAGAGCGAGACTGTCTCAAAAAAAAAAAAAGAAAGAAAGAAAGAAAGAAAAAAAGAAAAGAAAAGAAAAAGAAAAGTGAAAGACCGAAGATACCTAGTGTTGGCAAGGATATGGAAAAACCAGAATTCTCATGCGCTGCTGATTAGGGAATAAATTAGCACAGCCACTTTGCAAACTGTTTGGCAGCATTTCCTAAAGTTGAATCTATTCATACCCTATGACATAGTAATTCTATTCCTAGGTTTTTACCCAATAGAAGCACATAATTATGTGTACCACAAGACATGTACGTGGTTGTATATAGCAATACTATTCCTAGTGGCTGAACATGTCCACGAACATCTGAATAAATCGTGGTATAATCATATAATGAAATTTCCTATGAGGATAAACAAGTTATTGTGACATGCAGCCACGTGGATGAATTTTACAGATACGCTATTGCGTGAAAGAAGACCGACATTTAAAAGTGTATGCTGCAGAATTCTATTTATACAAAGTTCAAGAAAAGGGAAAATGTATCGGCAGTAAAAGAGGTCAGGATACTGTTTACTTTTGGCGGAAGAGGTAGGGACTGAGATAAGGGCTTTAGAGACTGGCCATGTCCCCCGTTCTGGTCTGGGTGCTGGTTACCCAGGTGTGTTCATTTTGTGGAAATTCACTGAGCTCTTCATTTAAGGTTCACGCACTTTTCTGCATTTTATGCCTTGATTTTAAAATGTTCCTTTAAAAAGTTCAAAATGTGCCTGCTTCTGCCCTTTCTCCGATTACAAGTTTTTACAGCTTTCCTGAACTTCTCAGACTACCAAGTGGAATGAAATGATGACTTTTCCTTCATGGATGAAGGCAACAGTTTTGCTTATATTTTTTATTTTTCCTACAAGGAGATGTTAAATTTAATTTTGGACAGCCTATTTGTTTTTCTAAACTAGCTATTGCCAGGAAAACAGGCTGCAGAATGTAGAGAGATGTGTGTGTGTGTGTGTGTGTGTGTCTGTGTATGCTTCAGGTGTGTGTAATTGTGATGCGTTTATGTGCATATAGGTGTGCATTTCCATGTGTTTGCAAGACACACACATGACCGTGCGTGTGTGTTTATATTTCCTTCTTACATTGATATTCTTGGATAGCAACACAAATAAATGAAGTCATTTCTAAACATCTGGCTAGGCAAAGAAACGGCCCCTTCAATATTATGTCAATGTCTGAGGCACATAGCACATGTTCAAAAAATATTTGTTGAATGAATGAAAGAATGAAAGAAAATTAATGAACAAAAGAAAATGGGAGAGTAGAAATGGCTTGGACGTATGTCTTTAATTTTGGGTATAGTTGTTGCTGGAGAAGTCAATTATTCAACTACGTTCCCTCCTAGCCTGTCTTCCGGACACTGCTGAGACAGACGAGGAAAGGGCGTCTGACTCATTTTACTCAGTTAATGGCTCTCGACCCTCCTTTCCGGATTCTGGGCCAGCCAAGGCCATGCCCGCAGTTGCCGCTCAGCTTCTTTCCTGGTAGGGTCAAGGGCCGGGTGAGCTAATATTTGTTCAGCTTGTCCCACTACTGACACGTTAGGGAAGTGCAGATCCATGTTGTGAGTTACCATAATGTCACGGCCTCCACATGTCCTCCTCCCCAGGAAGTAGACTGCTCTGTCATTTAAATGATTTTATCAATATTTGCAATTTTTAAAATTGGGCCAAATAGCTCCCTCTCTTCTCATTTCCGAGTCTGTTTACTGTCTTCCCCAGGGTCTGCTCCTCTGCCTGTTTACTGTCTCCCCTGGGGTCTGCTCCTCTGTCTCACTTTGAAATGCTCCTGGCACATCCCTCTCAGCAACCACTGGAGCTTCCTTGATTAGCTGCTCCCTTTGCCCCTTCAAAGTTTGTAGCTCAACTCCCCTGGTGACGCAATGCTGGCCCAGGCTATCCGTGACTCCCTGCCGTCTCCCTCCACCTCCGCAGGGAGCAGAGGTGCCTCAGGGCAGCCCGAGCCCTCCAGTCACCAGCCCTGCTAGGCCAGCAGCTACAAGGCCCCCCGCACTGTCGCTGGTCAGCCCTGGGGATCGTCGGCAGGGGATGGCAAACATGGATCCAGGGCGCCACCAAGCCTGGCTCCTGCAACCAGGATAGACACCGCTAATCTACTGCGATATTCTTCTTCTCAGAGCCTAGAGAAAAGCTGAGAATCCTTCTTGGGCTAGTGCAGTCAATGGGCACCACCCATCAATAGAAACGGAAATGTGTCTCCTCTCTCTATGGTATCAAGTTGCCACACACGTGGCGTTCTCTGAATTTTCCATCAGCATTTAAGACCCACTTCTCTGAGAAGAACGGAGCTACAAAAAAATGGACCCAGCACGGTGGCTCACGCCTGCAGTCCCAATGCTTTGGGAGGCTGAGGTGGGAGGATCACTTGAGGCCAGGAGTTCAAGACCAGCCTGGCCAACACGGTGAAACTCCGCCCCTACTAAAAATACAAAAATTAGCTGGGTGCGGTGGCACACGCCTGTAGTCCCAGCTACTTGGGAGGCTGAGGCACTAGACTTGCTTGAACCCGGGAGGCAGAGGTTGCAGCGAGCTGAGATTATGCCATTGCACTCCAGCCTGGGTGACAGGGTAAGACCTTGCCGCCAAAAAGAAAAAAAAAAAACAAATGTACCCAGCACAGTGGCTCATGCCTGTAATCCCAGTGCTTTGGGAGGCCAAGGTGGGAGGACCACTTGAGACCAGGACTTTGA